AACACTTGGGGAAGTATACGGTGGTCTAACCACTATTCTGTACACCTGAAACTAATCCTCTTGCCGGTGGAAGTGGGGTTCTTTCACGGGATTGTGAGGGAAGCATTCCGGGGGACCCATGTACGGGAAGTTGAGACTTTGTGGCGAGATTCGTTGTAGAAGCCAAACCAAGGGCCTGCCTCTGGGTGTCCATTGTCCTGTCTCCGTCTGTGTCGCCGTGGGAAAAAGTCCAGTCTTGTCTTCTTCAAGCCCAATGTGAAGGCCAGGGTCTACACGTTCTGTGCCATGCCGAAGCTTACTGCACGCCTGTCCCCATCTGGCCGGCATAGTCCCTTCCCGGCTGGTGCCGTGCCCAGGCCTGCGCTTGGCCCAGGTGGTTGCAGTGAAGAGAGAACGTGCGAACAAACAGGGCCAATAAACAAATGCATGTTACGGGCGGGGGGGGGGTGGGCAGGAGAGCTTCTTTGTTAAGCTGGGTTATATTATTGTCTCGGGTTTGGGATAGGACCATGCACTTCTTCAAACCAACCAATCAACTGCCTAAGTTTGCGTGCGCTGGTGCTGGATCCTCCCCTCAACCAATGTATTTCCTAGATCTTTTGGGGTTCTGGGTCCCTTATCCAATCTGATTCTTTTCCAGGGCCCCATAGGCAGGACTCTGGGGTCTCCATTTTAGTTCCTGCTGCCCGTGTGCTCACCTTTCTCTGCTGCCTGACAGTCCAGAGGTTGGGCTGCTCCCCGCACAGGGGAAGGGAGGGGTGTTCATCCTCTTGGCGGGGAAATGCTGTTATTCCCTGGACTGTGTGAAGCTGTAACTTCCCAGTTAGGCAGGCTTATGCGCCCTAGTTTATTATGCTTAATAATGTCTGATTTCCTTTGCTCCCTCCATTTATTCATCTAGCTACCTGTGCTAACAATAGAAAATAATGTTAAATGTAAACTGTAATTTTTAAAAAAAGGTTTCAGGACTGATTATCATTGGCCCAGGTCGGGTCACGTGACCACCCTGAACTACTTCATTGTGATTGGCTAAACAGTGGGACATTTCCTCTGGATTTAAGGCTTGGGATCAGGCCCACCTGAGCCAAATAGACTCAGAAAAGGTGAAGACCAGTTTTAAAAAAAACACATACAACAAAAAAACAATGCTGTTTTCGGAACCATGGGATTGAATGCCAGATATGCAAAAAAAAAGAAAAACCCTAACATGGAGTAAGTGAGTTTTGTTTTACAAACCAGCCAAGCCCTGAACATGCTCAGGGCCAGTTCCCTGTCTTGGAGGAGCAGCTCTGATGGAAACTCCTACCTGTGGCAGCAGCTTCTGGAGAGCTGGTTTCGCTTGGGCTTTCCTTCATCTTTTTTCGGATCATCCCCGTGCCTGAGGGGATCTGGTTCTGACTCTGGCCCCAGCACAGGGCCCTCCCTTGGCATCGTTGGGGCCGTAGATGCCCCAGCTCGTGGAATCGTAATGGGGAGGTGGGGCATTTCAAGGAGGGAGGTCAGGGGTTATGGAGGAGGTGGCCTCTGAGCAGGGCCTTCGAGGATGGGCAACAGGAACTTCCCAGGGCTGTGATCGCGAAGACAAACAGTTGCAGGTGTTAGCGAGGACGTGGCAAACTCGGACCCCTCGTACACGGCTGGGGGAAATGTAAGACGGTGCAGCTGCTTGGGGAGCAGCCTGGCAGGTCCTCAAAAACTTGAACCTCAGAGATGTCTTGGGTTCGGTTCCAGGGCACTGCAATAAAGCGAGTTGAATTGTTTTTGTTTTTTGTTTTGTTTTTTTTGCTGGTGGAGGGCATTGCCTTCAATTTGTAAAAAGTGCAACACGTATGAAGTGCGATAAAACAAGGTATGCCTGTGTGGGACTTAGCGCTTCCACTTCTAGCTATGTACTGGAGAAAAAAAAAAACTAGTAAATGCATCTTCGTGGCAGCATTATTCATAATTGCCAAAAAGTAGAAACAACCCAAATATGCATCAGCTGATGACTGGATAAAAAAATGGGGTCCATCCACATAAACGGAGTATCATTGCGCCGTGAGCGGGAGTCAAGTGCTGATGCCCGCCCGCTGCCACACAGATGAGCCTTGAACATCCTCATGAGTGAAAGAAGCCAGTCACGAAAGACAGTATATTGTGTGATTCCATTTACACGAAGCGTCCAGCACAGGCAAACCCACAGAGACAGAGAGTGGATTAGCAGCTGCCCATAGCTGGAGGGGGGAGGGGGAGTTTGGGGGATGTTGAAAATTCATCTTAGTGATGTTTCCATCACTGGGAATATGCTAAAAAAATTGAACTGTACTCTAACGGTATGTGAATTATATCTCATTAAAATTATTACAAAAAAGAAAAGAGATTACATCAGGAGGTCTGAGATGAGGGGCCCAAGTCGCATGTCTGCTGGGAACTCTGGGAAACCAGGACCAATGGCTGACCAGCTGGCCCCTCCCAACCCCCATCGCTTGGATTTCAAAACAGGTGGAAGGAACTGGGGGAGTAAAGGAAAACGCTCGCATGAAAAAGGGGAGTGAGGAAAAGCTGTCTCCCAGGCCCTGAGGTGGCCTGGAGACGCCACAAGGAAGCAGAGTGTCACGGTGACCGGACGCCAGCCTGGGTCCCTGGCTCACGTGTGGGGGGAGGCTTGGGGGCAGAGTCCAGCACTGTGACGTGCGCCAGTGTCCTTGGCCTGGGGGACCTGTGTCTGCTTGGCTCTCGGTGACCCCTTGCAGCCTTCCCCACTCCCTGTCCACAGAGGTGGGCTCCTGGCAGCCATGTCCGCCGAGCAGTGTGGCCCTTGGCTACAGCTGGCTGTGCCGGTGTGCACCTCAGACCCAAGCTGAATCGGTCTCTGTCCCCCCTCTAGAATTTGGATCTTGAATGAGGAAGAGGCCTTCTCTGGGACATGTGGGCTCGGGGGCTGTGGACGGCCGCACTGCCCCTCCCCCCCACTCCCTGTGGGCAGGGATAAAAATAAGAGGAAGCTGGTTCCTCAGCCCCGTGGAATGTGCTCAGTTCCCCGTGGAAGTAGCTGTAAAGCGAGAGGCCCTGGGGGCCCTCTGGGAGCCTCAAGGAGCTCAGCGAGCCAGTGGGGGAGCCCGGAGTGCCCAGAGCAGCCATGGTGAGGCAGGCACGGAGGTTTCCAGAAGAAGAACACTGATGGGAAGGAGCAGAGGGAGGCTGGGTGTCCCAGCAACTTCTCTGGAGAGGGCTGGGGAGCAAAGACGGGAACCGTTGCCCTTGGCCAACAAGTTCTAGGGAGCAAAACGTCCACAAATAGCGACATAATGGCCTTGTCAATCTTATCAATAATTAATATTTTGTGCCAGCGCAACCCATTACATTTTTCAAAGCATATCCACCTCTACAATCCCCTTTGATTTGCTCCCTCCCCATCTACCCTGGAGGAAGATGCATTACCTCCTTCTACACAGAGTAAAGCTGCCGTTATGGCCCACCCCTTGCCTCCTGGATTAAGGTGTGCACCCGACACAAAGGTAGACACCCCCTCAGTGGGCCCGTGGCCTCAGGCAACACAGCAGGACACGGGTACCCGGCACGGGTGACAGTGACTGACTGAGCCAGCTCAGCCTCTCTCTCGGGGTCTGAGAGTGAGTCTCCAGAGAGAGGCAGAGCTCTGCTTTGCAAGGGCAGAAGCCAAGAGACACAGAGAAACGGCAGTAAGCAGAAGCCAAGAATAAATGAGAAGTGGCAGCAGCATCCAGGAGGTGTGAGGAAGGTAGGAGAGAGACTTTGGTTGGCAGGAGGGTCGCGGCAGAGGGGCCCCGGAACAGAGCAGCTTTGGCAGATGGCACCCTATAGCCCGGACACTAGCTCAGCCCTGGACACCATGCCGGTCTCCGCAGAACGTAGTCATGTAGCTTAGATTCCTGCCTTCCTTGTTGTCACAGTGTCCTCGATAGGAACCCTCCACAGGAGCCACCTGAGTCTATTCCTCACTGCAGCCCCGCCCTGCCCCGCCCCCCCTACAGGCACACATCATTTTATCGTGCCTCTCCTGACTGTGCTTCACAGGTGTTGAGTATTTTTTACAAATGGAAGGCAAGACCCTCCTCCACCAGCAAAAAGGTTATGACTCCCTTTATTGTGATACCTGCTTTATTGCGGTGATCTGGAGCTGACCCCTGAGAGTTGTGCTCGTCTCGCCAGACCTGACAGGAAGGGATGATTCCTGGCCAGTGGCAGCACGCTCAGCAGGGTCCTTCCTCGTGTCTGCCCCTGAACCCTCTGTCCCCCACAGGGGTCCCTGGCAAGGGCCGAAGACATCCCTGCTGTGATGTGGGCACATTAGTCAGGATGTCACCTGCCTTCAGCCTGGACAGTTCGGGCATATATGTCTCAGGAGAGGTGACCAAATTAAGTCAATGATGAAGGAATTCTTCCTTTTTCTCTCCCGTTTTCCCTCCCTCCCTCCCTCCCTCCCTCCCATTCTCCTTTCTCCTCTCCCTCCCTTTCTTTCTTTGTTTTCTCAAGCAAACTTGACTCTCAAACACATAACTTGCTGACTCAAGCACCCAGCAGAGTCTGACTGGTGTCTCTGTCCCAATTCGAAATTCAATCTGATTGGCCCAGTTTGGGTCAGGTAACCACCTCTGGGCCAATCACTGATGGCCAAGGGAACAGGGAGTGTTTTGTAGTGTTAATATGGCTGCTGTGGCTCAGCCCTGGTGCTGCAGCTTCTCGGAGGAGAAGGGCACGTGATTTAGACTAACGCCTAAAATGCGGGCACTAGACAGAGAGAACAAAAATCAGGGCACGGGAACGAACATTTTTTTTTTTTAAATCAACATATGTTGAGTGATCTAGAAACAGTGCATATATTTTCTTATCTATTTCAACCCTCCCAATAGCTCTGTGAGAGAAGCATTAATAACCTTATTTGTAAATTAGGGAAATTACACTGGAGGAGTTAAGGCACTTGCCCAAGACATTGTGTCCAGCGAGGGGTGCAGCTGGATGCAGAGCCAGGACCATCTAACTGCAGGAACGTTATGCTCTCTCCTCTACCAGGCTGCCTGCATGACCTTGAAGTGGCGTCACTGCCCTTGCTTTGCTAAAGTCTCAAGCCTCCACCAATTCCACCTCACTGAAAGGCCTTTGGAGCTTTCTAGCTCGCATTCATCAACACAGAGATGAGGAAGTGGTGTCCGGACAAGGTTAGTGGCTAGCCACCGTCATGTAGAGCGTCGAGAGCTGGAGCTCCCCCCTGCATGGCAGGCTGCCTGGTGGGCTCCTGAGAGCCTTACCCGTGGCTGCTTCCCTTCCTGCAGAGCTGAGGGGCGAGGCTGCTGCCTGTTCTACCTCCTGTCTCTGGTCTTCTTTCCCTGCTCATCCTCTAAAAGATTGGTGCTACCAGTCCTTTTTTTTTTTAGAGAGACAGAGAAAAATCAATTTATTGTTCCATTTATTGATGCATTTATTGGTTGATTCTTCTATGTGCCCTGACTGGAGATGGAACCCACAACCTTGGCATATCAGAATGATGCTCTAACCAACTGAGCTTCCTGGCCAGGGTGGTACTATCAGTCTATAAGCACTTCCAGAGGGCCAGCAAGGGAGCCGAGTTCATGCTTCAGCGCACTGCCAGGCTTTGGGGACAGGGCTGATCTGTTGGTGAGCCCGAGCCCATGTGACTACTGCCTTCTTGGAGGGAGGCAAGGAAGAAAGGGGGAGAGCGGCCCACCCAGCATGGCTGACAGGTGCGTCAGAATCGGCCAGGGGCTCTCTCACCCAGGAAGCAATGCCGAAGTCAGGGGAGTGAGCAGCCCTGAGACACAAGGGGCTCAGGGGGGGCCCGAAAGTGTCTCCATCTGTGGTTCCCTGATGTCAGGTGCTCAGGAACAGGGAGCCCGGGCTCCTCTCACTATATGGCCCTCCCTGTCCCACAGGAAACCTTGAGGACTTTGATCAGGAGAACGACAAACTCAGTTTGTGGGAAGTGGAGAGTGGAGAGGCCAGAGAACCAGGGAGATGAATCAGGAGGCTGGAGCCGTCGTCTGGGAGTGAGGTGAGTGCGACAGCTTACACTCCGGTGGGGGAGGCGGGCCGTGCCCTGAGGTTCTCCGGAAAATAGAACCAGTAGGATATACCTACATCTGTATCTAGAGATTTATCGTAAGGAGCTGGCTCATGCGGTTACGGAGGCTAAGAAGTCCTGAGGTCTGCATTTGGCAAGCTGAGGTCCCAGGAAAATCAGTGATACAGTTCTCACCTGAGGCCTAAGGCCTGAGAACCAGGAGAGCCAATGGTATACGTTCCAGCCCGAGGGCAGGGGGAAAAGCAGCGGCCCGGCTCCACAGTCAGGACGGCCAAGCTCCCTCTTCCTTAGTCTTTTTGCTCCCCTTACTGCAGCTCTCAAACCGATCGGATGAGGCCCATGAGGGAGGGCAATCTTCTTTACTCCGTCTATCAGTTCAAATGTCGCCCTCGTCCAAAACACTCTCACAGACACGCCCAGAATGTTCGGCCAGATGTCTGGGCATCCTGAGGCCCCGTCAGGTTCACACAGAAGATCAACCATCACAGGCAATAAGCAAGGAAACGGTATACTTACAATGTGTGTCCAGGGAGCAATAAGAAAGTAAGAAAAAAATGGAGCAGGGTGGAGAGAGAAGGCTAAGCACAGAGAGTGTCTAAAATAAATATTTGCTCAAAGAATGGCCGAGTCTCACCCTTCTATAAAGATGCTACTTTTTTCTTTGTGTCCCAAATTACTTTGTCTTATGTTAGGTTTTAACTGTAGTGAGTACTATTGTTGCTGGGAACTAAGGTTGTATTAATCAGCAGCTTGAAAGATACCACGTTCACACATTCTTCAGGAATATCACATTCGATACGGCCACTGGATGCGCTCGACTTCTTTATTTATGATTTCTGGCACTTTTCCTTTGCGGCTGCTCAGAATAGCTTCTGATCCTGCTCACTCACAGACACAGTGAAATCAAATCTCCCTGCACCCGCCCCTATCGGCAGCAGCCTTGCTTATGTAAGCTGTCCAGCCCTCCGCCAGCGACGGGGCGGCGGCTGCGGCAGTGCCCCAGACGGGTTCCACTGTGGCTCTCTCCACGGGAGCGCCCTCGACTTGCACAGTGCTCTTCTGGTAAAGTGCTCTCGTTTCCAGAAATCGCGTCGCAATCAATAAAGGTTGTGCGCGCACGACTGAGGGCTAAGTTTCAGCCATTTGTTCTCCACTCACCTCCTGATACCCTTTTAAATGTTTTCGGTCTATCCCTTGGAAATATTCAAATCGATGTTCTGACTTATTTATTCTCCGGAAGTCTGCTTTCTGTCCCCTCAGCATCCTGTCACTTCTGCGTGATTGTTTTGGCGGAACTTCTGCGCTCTGGGCTAAGCAGCGGGCTCAGAGAAGTATTGATTATGTGGGTGCCGGTGTGCACGTGTGTGTTAATGAATTGGCATGAGTGTGCGTGTGTGCAGCCAGGTAGAGTTGAAAAACCTCTGAATTTGAAAGCAAACAGGTCTAGGTTAGTGGGACAGTTCTTCTGCATTCTAACTGGTAACCTAAGGCAAATCACCTTGTAGGGCCTCAGTTCCCACACTTGTGAAGGAGAAATGTAGGTACATACCCAAGAGAAATGAAAACATACATACATGTAAAAGCTTGTACGCGAAAGTTCATAGCATCGTTTTTCCTGACAGCAAATGGCACCCACATGTCCACCAGCTGATGCGTGCATAAATGAAACATGGCCTGTCCATACAATAGAATATTATTTGGCCATAAAAAGGCAGGAGGCTCTGAGCCATGCCACCACACAGATGAACCTTGAAAACATGTTAAGGGAAAGAAGCCAGTCACAAAAGACCGTGTGTATTAGTTGGCCAGAGCTGCCACGGCAATGCGCCGCAAACCGGGCGACTTCCATGACAGAAATGCGTTGTCTCCCAGTTTCTGGAGGCTGGAGGTGCAGGATCCAGGGGTCAGCAGTGTTGCTTGCTGCTGGGGGCTGGGGCCGAGAATGTGCTCTGTGACTCTCCCCCAGCGTCTGGAGGCTGCTGGCCGTCTCGGGCGTTCCTTGGCCCGTGGCAGCATCACCTCAGTCTCCGCCTTCATCTTCACATGGCGGTCTCCCTGTGTCCAAATTTCCTCTTTCTGTAAGGACACCAGTCATATTGGATTAGCACACCCCCCCTCTTCCCATGAGGTCATCTGCAGTGACTCTATTTCCAAATCAGGCCACATTCTGAGGTGCTGGGGGTTAGGGCTCCAACATAAAAATTCCGAGGGGGCACAATTCAACCCATAATACCACATATTTTATACTCTGTTAATATGAAATGTCTAGACTAGGTGAGTCCATAGAGACAGAAAGTAGATTAGTGGTTGCCAGGGGCTGGGAAAAGAAGGAATTTGGAATGGCTACTGGGTACGGGGCTAATTTTTGAAAATGTTCTGAAAGCAGATAGTGTTGAAGGTTGCACAACTCTGTGAATATACTGACAACCAATGGATTGTATATTTAGATGGGCAAACTGTATGGTATGTGAGTTACATCCTTTAAAAAGCTATTTTCAGCCCAGACTGGTAACTCAGCTGGTGTAGAACGTCGTCCTGATACTCCAAGGTTGCAGGTTCAATCCCTGGTCAGGGAACATACAAGAATCAACCCATCAATGCATAAACAAGTGGAACTGAGACAGGAGATAGCATAGGAAGAACTCTGCACTGCGGTTTCTGGCCAGTCTAGTGTCCTGGATGCCAGGAAATGCCTTTTAGCACCTAGGTAGGAGAGTTAGTAAACCAAGGAATGGAGGAGGAGGGAGACATTCTCACCCACTAATTCAGCAGCCCTCAGCCTGGTCCCATAAGATTGGCAGGTGTTCCAACATCACAAGAAACACCAGGCTAACTAACACGAGAGGAGGGCAGTCCTTGAAATTCTATGTATCGTTTCCACTATCTCAGATAGAAAATTTTTTAAACTGTGTATCATCCCCAGGTCTAGAAGAGGGAAGAGGAGATGCCCAAAGAAAAGGCCCATAAAACAACTTTGGTTAATTGTCCATCTCTGGTCACTGTCTGGTTTATGAAAGAGTCCCTAATGCTTACAAAAGGAGCTCATAAATAACTTTGGGTAACTGCCTCAACTTTAATTAACTGCCTCATGGCATGTATCTGTTTTACAACAAGATGAATGAATGGGTCTGGAGCAAGATAAGGATTCGGTCTAACAGACCCCTGTACATACCTAGGTTTGAGTAGTCATATCCCCCCTGGGAAAGCTGGCGCCACCTTTACCTGTCAATCAATATGTAACTTCTTCACCCCCATCTGCCAACTCTACTCAAAGAACCTGGGGCTCTTGCCACCCTTGCTCTTGTCACTCCTGGTCTTGCCTTGTGCCCCCACCTCAGTGAGGCCCGTTCTCTTCCATGAGAACACGCCACAAATCAACCCTGCTTACATGCTGATAGACTTGCTGGTCTGTAATTCTTTACTGCGTCAGCAAGAAGAACCACGTTTCTCCTGTAACAGAACAACAAAGCAATGTGTCTCTCTCTATCTTAAATCAATTAAAAAAAATTTAAACTTTTTAAAGAAAAACAAAAGGTATAATACTGACCACTCTTCTGCCATATCAAGGTTATGCAGATCATATGATCTAACGGAAGTGAGTGTGTTGGAGAACTCTGCAATCACAAAACAAAATTGTAACCTTTGGTCTTTAAGTACCTTTGGTAATTATGTGCATTCTATGCTAACAACATGGTGAATTCCCTATTGATTCCAAACACTTCTGCTGTAATAAGGAGAATTCAAGAGCCCTCCTTAAAAGTTAACCTGCACAGTCACTGCAGGCTCACTCAGGTTACTTAGAAAAGCATCTTCCCCAAACCTGGCCTGTGATTCCCATGAAACTTTCATCCTTTCTGAACAGATGTCTCTTTTACCACTGAGTTTATCTCAGTGCAATCTCCACAAAGCACCTCCGAGTCTTCCTATTTTAAGAGATGAATTTTGTTGTTGTTTTTTTTTCCCCTGCATCTGTGCTTTTGCTCTTGTTGGATCCCAGCTAATTGTTTCCCCAGAGGCCAAATACACTGTCATGGAACAGGCAGGATTTCAGGGGCCAACAAAAGCATCTCGGCATCTCTGCCCATCCCTCACCCCCAGGGGGAGCAGCAGGAGCCTTTGCATCCCCTAAGCACCATTCTTAGGGACAGTGGCTATGTCCGTGGCCAGTCCATTCAGCTGCCTCTGGCCACAGGAGCAGTGAGCGTCCTCCCCTTACTCATGACCTTGGCTGGGCGCCTCATGCCGACAGTGGAGGGAACTGAGTTTCAGGTTGCTCAGGCTGCCTGTCTTCTGTCCTGCGGTGTGAGGGACCTCTGGGTCGGAGCTGCGCATAGATCAATAGATTGTGGGTGAGCAGTGCAGTTGCTGAGTCCAACTTGGCAACCCTCCAGTGCCCCCTTCTCCTGTCTCCCTGCTGGAGCTTCTGCTTTGGGGCCTGATCAAACCGGGTGCCCGTCCTAGCTCTCTCATTGTTTGCTGGGTGTCTTTGGCTGAGTTGCTTAACCTCTCTGGGCCTCCGTTTCTTCAACTCTGAATGGGCGTAATGATCTTTTTCTCATCGGGCTGGGATGAGGATGGAAATGGAATTTTCTGGCACACTGAGAGCCTGACTGAATGTTGGCTTTGCCTCTCCCCTGCTCCCGCTCCAGCCCTCAAGGAAAGCCGGGTCTGACCAGCAGAGTCCATCTTAACTGACTGAGAGCTAAGAGACAGTGGGACGAACAGTGTTCGGCGGGGTCCGTGCACCGCCTGAGAGACCCAGCTCTGGCTGTGACCTTGGGCAGACCCCTCTAACTCACGCCTTCCCAGGTCCGCCGGGCTGGGGCAAAAAGCCAGGAGCGCCAGGGATCACGGCTGAGAAACAGCTCAGAAACCCACAAGGGGCTGTGTGTCCCGGAGAGTCCCGCACGTCGATTGGCCTCCCTGTGGTCACGTGACCCGGCAGCCCGCACGCCCCGGCCCAGGCTGCC